ACTGAAAATAATAAAAAAATATTTCTTGAGCAGCAAATCAGCATATTAAAATGATTTATAAAGGATCATGTGACACTGAAGACTGAAATAATGGCTTTGCATCATAGGAATAAATGGCATTTTAAAATATATTAAAATAAACCATTATTTTAATAATTCTATTTTGTAATAATCACAATATTACTGTATTTTTGATCAAATAAATGCAGTCTTAAGTAAGCATAAGAGAATTCTTTAGAAATACAGGATAAAAAAAAAAACTGCAAATGCAACTATTACATTGCACAAATTTGAAAGGGACAGACATCATGGGCAATAAAAAGTACTGTTACAGTGTTAAAATTAATAATAAAATATGGTTTTATATTATAAGACAGTACAACAAAAACCTCTAAATAATATTAAATATTAATTATCACGCTCAACAAATCCCACTATATAAATAATTTAGTTTAAATATATTTTTTGTTACACTTTAAGGTGTTCTTGTAATGTGTAACAAGCGTTGCCTATTTTTTGTTACGAAAATGTCACAATGCAAAAAAAATGTAAAGGTCACACAAAAATCTTAAAGGTCCTAATGAGATTGGTTTACTTTACGAACAATATATTTCTTTTTTAGTTTGAGGGTGAAAATTGGGAACATGTGATGTACCTCCATAGTATAGGTCTTTCCAGAGCCGGTCTGCCCATAGGCAAAGATGCATACGTTAAAGCCATCAATACAGGAAGTGACCAGAGACTGCACTTCCTGGAACACCTGTCCAATCACAGGAGAGGGGACTGTGATATAATAACTGATATAGGAAATACAACTGTATGAGAAAACTAGTTCAGGCACTAACCTCCTCCTGAGTGGCCTGAGTGGGAAAGACTTTGTCAAGTTCAAAGGTCATGAGCTTGCCCTTATTGGACAAGTAGAGAACAGCATCATCATCAGGGTCAAAGGTCACTATGTTTTTGGTGTCAGCAGCATCTGTTTCTCCAGCACATATGGGACGTACTCGGCACAACACACGAATGTTTCCTGAAAAACAAGATAATGAAGTCTTTAGAATTAGAATGTCTAATTTCACTGAATAAAAATGCATAAATGAATCAAACCACACAATTCCCAGAAATCTTGGCGGTCTCACCTTTGAGACGCACCAGTTCATTGTGACATTTCTTCCTCAGGTTCATCTCCTGCTTGTATTTGCGCAGCAGCTCTTGGTTTGCACTGCTCACCTCTCCAATCACCTGACAGATCTGTAATCACAGACAAACAAACGCAACTGCTTCAGTTGAGGATCTGCGGTCAGGCTGATGTGTCTGTGAGCTCGTATGCTATGCTCTCAACCTCCTGCTTCGCCTCGGTGATGGCTTTCTCCAGCATGTAAGGGAAGTCCTGCACCTGTCTCTTCAGACAGTTGTAATCACAGGTGAGGGTTCTCAGAGCCGGCTGCAGCGTCAGGAGGTTCATCCGCACACCTGTTGGACAAAATCAAAAAACTAAATTAATAAACTATATGAAATGAAAAATAAAATATCAAATGAAGAATTTTTAAGAAACATTAATATTTTTGTATAGTTTGTAGTATAGTTTTTGTCGAGATTAGTAAATATAAAAAAAATAAATATGTGACCCTGGACCACAAAACCAGTCATAAGGGTCAATTTTTCGAAATGTAGATTTATACATCATCTGAAAGCTGTATGAATAAACTATCCATTGATGTATGGTTTGTTAGGATCGGACAATATTTGGCCGAGATACAACTATTTGAAAATCTGGAATCTGAGGCTGCAAAAAAATCAAAATATTGAGAAAATCGCTTTTAAAGTTGTCCAAATGAAGTTCTTAGCAATGCATATTACTAATCAAAAATTAAGTTTTAATATATTTACAATAGGAAATTTACAAAATATCTTCATGGAACATGATCTTTACTTAACATCCTAATGATTTTTGGCATAAAAGAAAAATCGATAATTTTGACCCATACAATGTTTTTTTTTTTTTGGCTATTGCTAAAAATATACCCAAGTGACTTAAGACTGGTTTTGTGTTCCAGGGTCACATATAAAAAAAAAATGTAATTAGATTATTCAGTAAAAAAAATATTACACTAATACAATTGTTGTACTATATTTAAATGACTAATAAAATATGGCATAATACATATTTTTTTTATATTACTACAGAATTTTTATATCAAAAGCAATATAAAAGACAACAAATAGAACTACGATATGCCAAATACTGTAGTTAAAATATATTTCCTGGTTGTTTTACTTTAAGATTTTATCCTTGTTTCAATGTAATTACACAAATAAGTACTAAACAATATTAATTAACAACATGTACAATTATAGGGTTTGGTTTATGGTTAATTGCTTGTAATTGTGCATAATTTACTGTTATTACTAGTACGTGTAATATGTTTAACATGAACATTAAAATAAAGTGTGTTACTTTTTTTTTGTTTGCATCAAGTAACAAGTAATAAAAATATGAGAGGAAACATTATTAACTGTCATGAAAATCCTAATGGATTTTGTTTTGTTCAAAAACAATATAATTAATTATTTATTTGATTGATAGATTTGAGGGTGAAACACGACCTGGACTCAAACACATGGTTTCACCTGCTAGGTTCTCGTGGACGGCCTTCATCTCACTCTCGGCTCTGATGAAAGCTTCCTCGATCACTCGGTTCTTCTCCTCCTCCAGACTCTGCATCTCTGCTTCCAGCTGACCCTGCGCTCTCTCCATCTCACCCTCATACACCAGGATCTAACACACACACACATGATCAGAGACGCACAGATATCCTGCGTTCCACCTTATTTAAATAAAATGGCTTTACTTCTGACCAACACAACACAAACCCAGTATTAAAGACGTCATGAACTACTAACCAGAGTCATTAGTTAGACTGATCTAATGCAGTTAGGTAAGTGAAAGAAGACCTGTGGGGTGGGTGGAGGGCTGTTGGTCACACATGGGAAGGGCATCTGGGGTCACGCACCATCAAAACATATGAAGCAGGGGTGGGTGATATACAGGTAGACACGATTAAGCGGTAGAAATTTGTCAACCAGTGGAGATTTAGGACTATTGTCTATGTTGTGGCTACACGCTCACATGACGATAAGGTCACAAAAGCTTATCGTTTGCACACGTTTTTAAGCATTGCGGTTTAAAAACAAGTGATTTTAAGCCGTTGAAACGCAATCAGCAGTGAAACAGAACTAATTTTGCTATATGCACGCACTGTCTGGGAGACTGTTTCTGAGCGCTGTCTGAGAGGCGTGCACACATGAAGACGGTACTCATAGAGCGCAGGAGTATTGAGTTATTTTTGCTGCTTTATAGGCTTTGAATGGTTAAATACACACACTTGTATGTGTCAAAATGACCATCTTTGCAAATATCCTCGTAAACACAGTAATTTAGGTCTTAAGTGAAAGCAAACAGCTGAGAAAGAAAACGTGTAACAATATATTGGATCCGGGCAGCTCTTAAAGTGGCAGCAGTCTAATATTCCTGCTGATCGACATAACGTGAGGTTATATTTATTTTTTAACGTGCGAAAATTTCGGACTCAGTGTGCAATGACCTTAGCAGTATATTGAATCTGGGCAGCTCTTAAAGTGATAGCAGTCTAACATTCCCGCTGTCTGTCATTCATGTTAATCAAACAACAAAAGAGAGAAAATCTCTCACTGCTCTTGACTGAATCACTTTTGTGACTTTATTAAGAAGAAATATATATTTAATTTACACAGTGAAGAATATGCAGTGTTTTTATACATTTGATTACTTTATACAATGTAGCATTTCTTATTTATTTGTTTTACTATATACTTTTTGTCCTATTGCTTTTTTTTATTATTTAATTGCTGACTGTTTACTTGTCTTCAGTGAGCTTGAGTTTTTTTTTTTAATTTAGGCTAGTATTAGTTTTTTGTGATAGTGACACTGGTGACAAGAATTATGAAATTTCTATGGTATTAAAAATGTTGAAATCATAAAAACCTTATTTAAAGCAAATATATATATAGATCTCGTTACCGTGAAATAAAATGACTCGTATCGTGATATAAGATTTTGGTCATATCACCCACCCCTAATATGAAGTACACAACGGGGGTGACATCAACTATTTCACAGTAAGTTATGGGATTACTACTGCAAGTAGAATAAATTATAACCCTGAAGGGAATGTGAGTTAGTTACTCCGCAAGATTTCAGGGCTTTATAGGTCAAAAATGAGCATGAGCCAACATGAACCTACATTTTTGTTTAGAACTTAAAATGGGACAAAGTCTGGTAGAAGTCTGCTCACAGTAAATCACTTCCTATAATCACAGTTGAAATCTAACCCATGACATTTTTGACCTTTGACCCCTGCAGAGTAATCTGGACAACCTTGGATAGCCTGTGGGTGACCTCGGCGTTACCCCCACCCACCGCCTTGGAGAGCAGACCATACAGACGGCTGCGGTCCGTCCTCAGCTGCAACGCAAGTGAAGAGAGAGAGCTGTTAACCTGCTCTGTCACGACACCGACATCACAGAGGCCTGAAACTAGAGCCTTATGATTTCCATTAAGCAGAAAAAAGACAGAATCACGGAATCCAGTCACGAAAATCGAATTTACAGTATAATGCGGAATGTTACAGAATTTGGCAAAATTTGGATGAATAAATCAAAAGTAGGACTGTACAATTAATCAAGTAGCCATATGGACCAGTGTCTGTGAATATTAAAGCACAAAAAGACTGCTATGTAAATATGAAGTCTGCATGTTCTGAGTGTCTGTGTGAATGAGTGCCACAGTCTTGTCTACTACACATACTCAGGCACACGTAATGCTTGTGGAGTTTTCAGCATCTACCGTCTCACTATATGAGGACATGAACACATGAACTTCATCTCCAGAGCTGCTCTGAGAGTCACTTCACCAGCATTTCACCATTTCATTTGATAAAAACTATCATCAGATACACAAAGAAACTCAAAGGTCTTCACTTCAACCAGCCAAAATAAAAGTTTAGTTTAACTTGAAATTATGACAGAAATATATAACTACTGTACAGTAGAATGTACTTCTCAAAGTAATAACAATATTAAAAATACAGTTTGTTATTTTTTAAGAAATATCACACAATATATACTGTATATATATATATTTTTTTTTTATTTATTTATTTTATTTAAAAAAAAAAATTTCATGTTTTAATTTAAAACTTAAAGCAAACCTCTGTTTTGCAGCATTTCCTTGGCCAAAAAAATGATTTTTTTCAAATTTCATTTAATTATATTATACAAGAATATAATTAAATAATTATTTTGTTTTTCAATTTCAGAAAAAAAATTCTAATTTCAGAGAGCAATATTATTGTCAACATTTTAATTAAATTGTCCTTTTTATTCATTTAGTTTAATTAAACCATTAAAATGAAATCCACAACATTTTAAACTGAAAACAAGGAATTGGGAGGAAAAAATAAATGTAAAAGAATTCCCTATTAAACTTACATCAAATTAACTGGCTTTTGAGGAGACATGAGATCAGCATTTGGCCACATGATAATTCAGGACACTCGAAACAGCGCACACAGGAAGTGAGTGTGGTACCTGCTGGCGGAGCTGACTGCTGCTTCTCTGGGACTCGTGGAGCTGCTGTTCCAGCTCCCTGAGGAGCTGCCTCTGAACACTCAGCTGCTCCTGCAGCGCCTGGTTATGGGCCTGAGCCTCCATTAAAGCCTGCTTACACTGAGCCGACTCCACTTCAACCGTCTTGGTCACATACTGCAGGAAGAGTGAGAAACAGACACATTAAATCACTTTAGTTAGGAAAAGTGCATATTGTTTTTGGCCACCAGCAGAGAACCAACATATTGGGTATTGTAAATGTGAGTCCAAAATGTAGTGAGAATGTGTAGACTGGAGTGTTAATAGAGGTGACTATAAAAAGGTTAAATACACAAGGGAAAAAAATGGAAATTAAGTCAGATACTGTGTTTGCTATTCTGGGGTCAATTAGTGAATCTTCCCTTAATAAGAATAAATGTCTGTCTATCGCTTTATTTACACTACCAGTCAAAAGTTTGGGATAATTATGATTTGTTCAAAAAGGCTGCATTTCTATGATCAAAAATACAGTAAAACAGTAATAATGTAAAATATTACAATTTAAAAAAAAAGGCTGGTTCAACAGAGATGGAAACTGGACATGATTCCAACATTTGACTGGCTGAGTGAGTTGAAAGTGTGATTTATCAATAATAACAATTGACAGATTTATTTGGGAAAATCTGTATTGGACTATTTGGCAATATGATCATATTATACCTTTTTTATTGTTTATTTACTCATTTTCTTTAATGCTTTTAGGTTATCACCACTGGAATCTTTCGATTACCTTATATTACTTTAATTATTAGGAACATTTTTCTTTGACACGCTTTACAATATTTTGTGTCTACTTGGGTTAATTTAAATCCGCTGTACTGTTGTTTGCTTTCTTGGGGCCTCATGCGGTTTTAAGTGTTTACCTTATTTGAAACCTAAATAAATAAAAAAAATAGAATAGAACTAATAAAAAAAAAAATGCAAGGAAGACAAAACGAATCCACACATTTACAACACAAATTTTCTGCAAAAAGTCTCAATGATAGAAATTCAAGATTATATTTAAAAAAAACTTTTCCAAAAAAAAAAAAAAACCCTGCATCCTGCATGAAGGTCACATCAGTCAGCTCTATACATCATTGAGGCCGCCTCATTTAAGAAAAGTAACCATTACAATGCACAGCAAGAAAGAAATATTAATTTAGGGCTCACCAGGAATAACAGTCATTTTTATGTTGTAGGTTACTTTTCTTAAATTAGAAATCCTCAGTGACATATGCAGCTGACTAATTTGACCTACGGAGGACGCAGACTTCGAAATGAGACACAGCTAATGCTTCATTAGCACAGCTCACCTTAACCTGCAGCGGCAGAGCAGCCTGGCGAGACAGAGCCTCCTCACCATCACGAAGCCGTGAGGTCAGCTGCTCCTCGCTCTGGCTCCTGAGACGTGACGCCACTTCCAGCTGCTGCTGCAGCTGAACTACCACACCTGTCCTCTCCTGCACCTGCTGCTCCAGCGCAGCCAGTCGCCGCTCCTGCTCGCGGCACTCCTCATCCTTACGACACAGCTCTCCACGCAGGGCCTGCACATCCTGAGACCGATGCAGACAGAGAGATGGAGCATTACAGAACAGAAAAAAACACCACAAGATTTATTGCACACGATTTAAGCATCAAATAATTATTCGATCAATATAGAAACAACCAATCGGATTGTAAGTGAGGTTTAAGTGAGTTATGGCTGTGTGAGTACCTGGCTGTGGTGGCAGTGGCCGGTAGAGCAGGTGGTCTGGGTCTGACTGGCCCTCAGCTCCTGTTTGAGCCACTGGTTTTCACTCTCCAGCACCTCGAGCTGTTTCTCCAGATCTGTCGCCCCCTAGAAACACACATATACGTTTATTTAGCTGAACGAGGACTTCTAATGGTTTTACATGCAGTTAATTATAATTACTATTGACAAATTCAAACCCAATCATTATCCACACCCAATAATATAAACCATTGGAATGGGGAAAAACATTGAAATAATTTATTTGTTAATTAATATGTGAATATATTTGGATCAGTTAATATGAGCAAATGTTCATTATAGTAATTACACTCACAGTACATATATATGCACTGCATATACATCTCTGGTCAGTAAGATTTTTCATTTTCAAGTATCTTCTTCTAACCAAGGCTGCATTTATTTGATCAAAAATACAGTATAAACAGTACTATAGTGAAATAATATTCCAATTTAAAGTAACTGTTTTCTATTTGACTATTTTAAAATGTCATTTATTTTCAGCATCATTACTCCAGTCTTCAGTGTCACATGATCCTTCAGAAATAGTCTAATATACTGATTTGCTGCTCAAGAAACATTTCTTATTAATATTAATGTTGAAAATAGTTTTTGCTGCTTAATACATTTGTGGAAACGTGATACAGTTTTTCAGGATTATTTGATGAAACAAAAGTTCAAAAGAACAGTACTTATTTGAAATCTTTTGTAACATTATAAATGTCTTTACTGTCACAATTGATCAATTTAATGCGTCCTTGGTAAATAAAAGTATTATTTATAATTTTTTTTAAACTTTTGAAATGTTGAGTAATTTAACAATTCTTTTTAGGTAACGCATTGAATGCCCTGATTTTGTTAAAGAAAATATATAAATTAAATAAATGAAATGTTCATAATTTTTCCAAAAGAGGACGAGGTTTTATTATATTTAGCTTTCTTCTGGGAACAAAGTTCCCAGTACAGTTAAGTACACCCACACCCATCTCAAATTTGGATCAGTGCCACAGTTGTAAATCTTCCAGAGCTGAAGAGATGCATTCCTCTGCTATCAACAAAACTAGATCACCAGGTTAACACTCCATCCCCTACCATCATAAAAATAAATCAGGTCAGCGTAAACCTGCAGGAGCATGAGCTCTTTATTAAACAATAGAAATGTGGTTCACACAAGTGTGGTGACTTTAGACCACCAGGATCAGGTGATTCATACAATGGCACAGAGTGTGACATAACTCTCCCCGTCCCTAATAATTCAGTCTCTCACCAGCTCAGAGCACAGTCTCTCCACCTCCTGCGTCTGATCCACTAGTTTCTCCTCCAGCTCCCTGACCTACAAAACCACAAACCAACAGCATTCAGCTAAATCCCTTCACAAAAATGAGTTTCATGCATCCAACCTCATGATGTATCGATCTATTTTAATCTAACCAGACAGAAACAATGAATATCAATGCATAAAAGGTCACAATACAGTATGTGGCTGAGGAATGTAAATGATCTGGTGGTGCTCTTGTGAGTCTGGCTGGAAAACTGAGCCCTATTCTCTCGGTTTGTGTGTGTGTGTGTGTCTGTGTGTGTAACATACCTGTGTGCGCAGCCCTGCAATGAGAGCGAGTTGTTCTCCCTCGTCTTTTTGCAGTTGCTCCTGTGAGTGAACTTTACTCACTTGTACAGCGCTGGGGAAATCCACAGGCCTCTGTGTCAAAACACTAGAGCTCCTCCCACCCACACACACACACACACACACACACACACACACACACACACACACACACTTTATGGCAAGCAAGCAGCTTTTTCTAACATTTAGGACACAAGATAAGTAATAAATAGATTTATTACAAATGTATTAATTATTAATTAAATATACAAAATTAATTAATTAATTGATAAAATGTATAGAAATATAAACTATTATAATTAAAATAAAATGTGTCTAATAACACTTTCTTTGCACGTTTGCTTTGTAAACACTGAGTCGGTACTTCTGCCTACCGACCTACTTCTGCGTGACCTTTTAGGAAATTTTTCCCCAAATTGTGTAGCCCTAGTTTGTAGACAGAATTTTTTTTTCTGGTTAAAAATTGGGATTGTGCTTGTAAATCAATGACTAATAAGAATGATTGCTATTGTTATTACTAAATAAAAATAAACAAAATAAGAAATGTTACTGTTTCACTATTAAATAAAATCAGGGTATTTAATAATAATAATAATAATAATTATTTTGTAATTATGTAACAGTTTCAAGTCCAACTTGCTTTTTTAAAATAACTCTCCACCATAAAAATAATTAAATAAATACATTAAAAAATAATTTACTCAACCTACTCATTTCATCTGAAAGTCCATATAACTTTTATTTCACCATACAAGCCGCTTTATATTTACATAAATATTATGAAATAAATATATATATTTTAATTTCTAATAAAATGTATAAATATAAGATTAAAATGTTATAAATATAATAGTTTATAATAATAATAATAATATTATAAAAAAATACAAATTTAATTTACAATTATAGTCTCTTCAATCTGAACCATTTCCTCTCACCTGTAGGTGACACAGTTTGGTTGAGCTGGCTGTCCTGCAGTCTGGGCTGCTCTTGAGGTTCTTGGTTAATGGATGAATGTTCCTCGTTCTGGTGGTTGTCTTTGTTGAGCTGGTGGTTGTGTGTCTGCAGTCGCTGTAGTAGGAGTCTTTTGGCAGAGTCTTCACTGCGCAGATGTGCCTGGAACTCACAGACTCTCTCTTGCAGTGTCTGCACAAACACACAAGAACCCATGAATGCCAGCCGTACTAAAGAACCTTACACAACCTGAACTATGAGGGAAAAACTAAAGCAGACAAACCAGAAGAACTTTGAAAGAGGAAAGGGGTAAGCATTTCTGAAATGAAACGCGTAGGTTGATTCCCCCCCCAAAGAACTCTTCATGGGAATAAATAAATAAATAAATAAATAACAAGGCATTATTTACTCAATCTACTCATGTCATCCCTAACACATATGACTTAATCAATTTTATAATTATCTTATAATTTAAATATGTAATTTAATGTGTACAAGTCATTCTGACTTTTTAGATATTAATTTTTATCTGTTTTTTTTTTTTGGGTCACTGTGTGATTTTGCAGTAACAGAGAGAACAGCCAGGACATCTACAAAAATATGTGATCAACAGAATAAAAGAAAATCATACAAGTTTGGAATGAGAGTAAATGAAGACAAAATGAAACTATTCCTTTACCTTCACAAGAAAGCTTAATGGGAATGTGACTATTCCTACTGGCACAAACTACCTTGGATACATTTTTTTTTAATGAAACCCAGATGACTACAAAACCACTAATAGACGCATTTAAGCAAACAGGGTGGAACTATGAACATAAGCGACTTTACTGCAATACAGGGAGCTTTGTAAAGCTGACGTCAGAACGAGGCAAAGTAGCTCACAGCTAAACACAAAGAAAGAATCAGAGGGATTTACGTAGGCAGACGTCCAGGAACAGGACAAAGTAACCTTCTGTACAGGTGAAATGATGAGAAGGCAGCACAGAGACACACAAATGAAGAACGAGAGGGAAAAAAGGGGAGAAGAAAAGCATGAAAGCAAAAAGATCAGTGGTGTGACAATTATGGAAAATTCTGAAACAGCAAATCAAACTAAATACCAACTCAACCTCAAATATCAGGAAAAATGTGCACGTACCAACTCATTGAGATGAAGCTATATTTGAAGATTTGAAAATCTGATGTCTTAAAATAGAGGCTTCTAGAGAAGCACATACAAAGCTATCCCATGTCTAAACTATTGTTTGTATTGAGAAGAGCCGTCAATGCATTGAAAAGCTGTGGCTGGGACACACCACACATGTGATCTCCAGCCAATCAGATCTCTCCTGTGCTCATGGTATGTTGAAAAGACTGGAAACTCCAGCACACTCAAATCTCACTCCAGATTGTCCTTTTCAGAGATGTTTATCCACCCTTTGAGATAAATAAGAGGAGGACTGCACTCCTAATGTAACAGTGGATCATGTTATGTAACTCCAGTCATATCTAGGGAGCAGGGACCGGTTTCACCAGCTGTGCGCAACTTAGCCTAGTTTTGACGCAAAGGAGCACTAAGTTAGAACTAATGCATTTACACAAGCCTCCGACCAGGAGTAATGTTTTGAATAAAACAACATATTGATTGAACGGCATCAATAAGCTCAAGTTATACTTGACAAACTTCAATCTTTTACACATATATGATAATGTTTACACTTGTTAATAAATTATTTTGTTAGTGACTCTTCAACATGAACCCAATCTAAGCAGCGCTCCTATTAGGGTTGGGCGAAATCTACCAAATTGGCATCAGAAGATGTCTACAGTGAAACATCGCGATGGATGGAGACAATGGGGGACATTGAAAACAATTATATCATTAAAATACTTGAGCAGAAGTTGTATTAATGCTGTGAATTTCAATCTATCCTTGAATCTAACAACATTTATATGTTTCCATTGAAATACAATGAAATATTCCATAATCATGAATAACTTACTGTAAGTATTTTTATATGCGAGTAAAATTCTGATGAGATGAAGGCAAAAATATCTAGGGGAAAATAAGAATGTGATGTTTTTAAGACTGCTATTGGATTATTGAGGGTACAGATCATATTATGCGATTATGCATTACTTTACACAGAGTTTACAACCTACTAGCTACATTCTACCTTAAAGGGATAGTTCACCCAAAAATAAAAATTAGCCCATTATTTACTCACCCTCAAGCCATCCTAGGCGTATATGACTTTCAAATGAATCCAATCGGAGTTATATTAAAAACTGACTTTGATCTCCCAAGCTGTTTAATGGCAGTCAGCGGGTGTTGCAGTTCATCAGTCCAAATGAAGTGAAATAAAGCACATCCATCCATAATAAAAAGTGTCTCTAATGCCCCCGGGGGGTGAACAAAGGCCTCCTGTAGCGAATCGATGCGTTTTTGTACGAAAAATATCCATATTCAAAACGTAATAATCACTTTAATCTAGTTTGCGCCAACAGTTGTACATGGAAGCAGCTCCGGGAGGATGACGTATGAGTTCAGCGTTGCACATGCGCCGGTGAGTCTCATGAAAACCAACGTTTGTTAACAGGAGCAAAGGAAGCAAAGTTTCCTTACATTAGCAAAGGAAAACCAATCTCCTCTTGGCTTATATCGAAATCCTCTGACATTCTTCTTTACAAATCCTCGTTTCGTACTTCTAACTCATGACCGTTGTTTTGTTTTGATCTCTCCCCTGCACTTCAGCGTTCGTCACTTCTGAGCGGCGCATGCGCAACGCAGACCTCATACGTCATCCGCCCGGAACTGCTTCTGTATACAACAGAGAGCGCAAGCTAGATTAAACTGATTATTACGTTTTAAATAAGGCTATTTTTCTTACAAAAACACATCGATTCGCTACAGGAGGACTTTGTTCACCCCCCGGAGCCGTGTGAGGCACTTTTTATTATGGATGGATGCACTTTATTTAACGTCTTTTGGACTGATGAACTGCAACACCCGATGACTGCCATTAAACAGCTTGGAAAATCAAAGTCAATTTTTAATATAACTCCGACTGGATTCGTCTGAAAGAAGAAAGTCATATACACCTAGGACGCCGTGAGGGCGAGTAATTCATGGGCTAATTTTCATTTTTGGGTGAACTAACCCTTTAAGAACAACTCGAAATGCAACCGAATAAAGTACAGAATTAGTTACAACCTGGCTAGTATTAGTAGTCACTAAGCCTCCAGTGTGGACTTTATGTTCCAGTTTAAGCAAGAACTTATGAACGGATGGTACAACTCGACCCAAAATATCAGAGACTTGGGAACTTATTTGACTTCTAAGCAACCAATAAAAACCCACACAGCAACACACTGACACCAACTCCCAAACAGCGTCATGGTGGTCAAACACCATTCACATTATCTTCAGAACATGTAAACTTTTAGCTTTAATTGCCAATCAGTGGTAAACTTCACTGAACAAACAATCCTCCATTATCTTAAACTTTCCATTTAAAGCATAAAAATTGAAGGTGTTTTTAGATCTGATCCAGACTAAGAAACAAGATCAGTGGATGAGCAAACAGCAGCCATTCTCAAAATCAAACTGAAATGTGATTGGCCCGCAGATGTTGCCCTGAGGGAATCTTACACTGAAACACACAGACCCTGTGGTCATTTACAGAGAGCCTGAGCAACCAGCTCCTCTGAGAAGCTGATAACATTGTTTAAACACAGAGCACAAAAGCAGCGCTGCCTGTTTGCTGTGACTTATTAACCCTGTGAAACCAATTACGCAAAGATCACACAGCTACAGAACAGACCAGCCACACAGAAACCAGCTCCTGAGTGATCTGGTGAAGACTGATTCAATCACAACACTGTATCACAGAAACACAGATGTTGAGAGTTTAATGCATATGTATATCGTACCATTCAAAAGTTTGAGTTGGAAGCATGCTTTAATGTTTCTGAAAGAAGTCTCTTTTGCTCACCAAGGCTGCATTTATTTGATCAAAAATACAGTAAAAACAGTAATTTTGTGAAATGTGTTTACAATCTAAATAACTGTTTTCTATTTTAATACATTTAAAAAAATAATTTATTCCTGTGATGCAAAGCTGAATTTTCAGCATTATTACGCCAGTCTTCAGAAATCATTCTAATATGCTGATTTGCTGCTCAAGAAACATTTCTGATGATCAGTGTTGAAAACAGTTGTGCTGCTTAATATTTTTGTGGATGCATTGTTTTCAGGATTCTTTGATGAATACAAAGTTCAAAAGAACATCATTTATTTCTTTACTTTCACTTTTTATCATATGAATGCATCCTTGCTGAATAAAAGTATTATTTAAAAAAAAAATATCTTACCCTAAACTTTTGAACTTTTGGTAGTGTAAATGGTCTACAGAGAATCTGAAAATAATGTGTTGCAGTAAATCCCTACACCTAGTTATATGCAAAAGTAACAGCGATGCTTGCACAATTTACAATATTAAACTGCACAGATTAATACTGGATTTTAAGCAAATATCCATTGGTACTGAAAAAAGTCTCAGAATGCTTAGTATGAACAATCACAATGGTTGCGTTCATCTTCGCAAACACCACTCACGGGGTCGTACCTGTATGAGCAGCTGCTGCTGTTCTGAGGTGGCCGTTTCAGAGAGGTCAGAGGTCAAACAGTGGCGCTGAAGGACAGAGTTGGGCAACGAGAGGAAGGAGCTCTCCTCCTCACCATCACTCATCAAGATATCCAGGGAACTCGCTGAAATGACAGAAAAGAGAATATTGTTAATTATTAATATGATTAAATATAAAATTGACTTAAAAATACTAAAGTTGAAGCACTGAAAAAAAAACAAACCGAAGTAAAACTACAATACAAATTAAACAAAGGCCTAGTAACATTAAAAAATAGTGAAAATGACAAAAGCACAATGATTACTAAAATGTTACTAAACTAAAAATAAAAGCTAATTCAAAATATTAATAAATACTACAATAGTAAATAATGGATACTAAGGGTGCTTTCACACCTGGCCCGTTGTTTCGGAACCTGGCTCGGTTTGGGCATATGTGAATCGGATCCGCGCCAAAACAATCGGTCCGAGATCGTCTGAACGAGATGGTCTCGGCTCGATTGAAAACGAACTCTGGAGCGGTTCGGTTGTAGTGAGAAAGCAATCCGATCAAATGGACCAACGAACCAGGCTATATCACAATGTATAATGGGTAATTACGTAAGTTCCATGAAAAGCATTAGCTTTGTTGTTTTGCTAATACTATTTTAAAAATGTTTTCCCGATGAATCCTGGACTCCTGCTCAAAGTGATAAATTAATATAACGACATCTACAAAAAGAACCAACAATAAGCCCGCAAAGCTGTTGTCGTTCCACCCTGACGGATGACAGCTGTGACAGCTAAGTGGAATATAAACCGTGAAACTTTTGACCAATGAGAGAACAGTTTACTTGCGCATGACTTGTATGAACAAATTTGGTCCGTTTAGAAACATTGCCGTGTGAAAGCGAACCGCACCAAGAATAAAAAGCAACATTGTAATAATTTTAATCCCTGTTTCGGAAGAAAGCAATCGATCTACAGGTGTGAAAGCACCCTAAAATAATGCTGGTGCAGATGACACAATGGCATTGTGGGAAATATACGTAGAGCAACTCAAAAAAATGATTTGTTCACCTGTTGAAGATGGCTAATTCTCATGAACAAACCAAGGAGATCTAGAGCGAATGTCAAGATCTTCAGTAAATAATGGCTTAAATTTCAGTCTGTTCCTCACATGAAACCATTGTATTATTTTAGATGATTTGTAATATCTTTCTTTTTCGAAAAGGTCTGAACTGATTTGTGTGCATTCTGACCGCTCTTTCACGGAACTATCTAAAGCAGCAATAATGCAATAATGCCTCATTCAACGTTACTGCATAAAAACAGTTAATCATTTCTCTGTTTGTGCTACTTAATAGAAATAAAGTCCTTCAAGTTTGGAACAACATGAAGGTGCATAAATTACATCAGAATATTAAGATTTGGGTAAAGTAATCCTTACTAGCTGAATATGCAGAGAACACATCAATCTGGTAAAGGTCCTGCAGGCTTAATAGAAACCATTAACTTATGATAAGGTAACAGCCTGCTGCAAGTGATGCATTAACCTGGATTTTAATATGGCCCTGAACCTTCTCAAAAAACAACAACTACTGTTTTGTTTGTCAAACAGCTCTCTGTCACACTCACACGGGAGACGTGCATCCTCTCGCCGGTGCGGTTTACGATGACACAGCAGTAGAGCCGCTTTCGTAGAAGAGCATCAGACTGAACGCAAATCTGTCACCGCATCACTGCAAAAACCAGCCACCAACACTCAACCTCGACATTTCCCTGATTTTCCTCTTTGTCTGCTTCCCGTTTTAGTCCTTTTTGGTCATTGTTTCTCACACAATCGCTGTGCCTGTTGTTATAATGTCCCGTGCAGCACACAGCGCATTAGCACACATACAAATTTTCAAGCACTGCTCTCATCTCTGCTCTCATCTCTAAGGAGATTTACACTTCTGTACCTGGACAGAACGCATGGTGTTCTTCGTTCGGTCCGAAACAGTCTGACTGTGTTTCTCCTTGTCAGTGGGTAAGAACACATCACTTGCTCTCTCTCCGATGACTGAGCCAGCGAGGGCTTTCACACACACACACACCTCCCACATCCACTCAAACATTCAAACTATCCTCAGAAAAATGTTGCTACACCGGTTTTGAAGTCCACTCATGTGACAGTGCTTACCATCCAATGAGAGGTCTTTGTTCCAGAGCTCCTGCAGGCAGGGGGTGTGGCTGACGTCCCAGGTCTTTCGTGTGCCGTACATGACCACGGGGCCGAGCAGAACACACTGCTGGACCGGCTGTAAACAGACCACATCCAATAAATACCCAACTAATGAACATCTGAGACCTGACAATTTTACATGGAGATTATACAGAATAAAATTCATCATTAACCCTGTAAAGCCTGACATCATAATAATAATAATTCCAAAATTTGTAATTTTTTTTTTTAACATAAGAGTTCATTGAACCTTTTAAATTTATTGAAACTGAACCCTACTGAACCAAAACATATATTTTTTAAAGTTTGTATACGGGTCAAAGACGAAAAAGGGTTTAAGCATAAAAACAATACTGCTTTAAATTGCTGTTTTTCCAAAAAAAAAAAAGAACATTTAAAAATGTAAAAGTTTTCAGTTTAATGTAATTGTAGTTTTGTTTTTGTTTTTCTCAGCAAAAAAAAAAAAAATCATACAT